ACTCAAGCCGCTTTGCACGGAGTTACCGGCAGACCGACGCGCTCTCCCCGGCATCCCCCGGGCGGCAGCCCGCTCCCCTGCTCCTTCCTCCTCGCAGAGGGAAAACGAGGCAAATTCCTCCAAAGGGAGAGCAGGGCAGGTTTCCTGGGAGCCATTTTCCTGCAGTCCACGTGCCTCCCTTCCACTTCTTAGAAGGGAACAACGTAATTGGCCTTGATCAGGAGCTGCTGCTTTTAATTCATTTACCACTGACTCATCCGGGCGGCAGCCCGCTCCCCTGCTCCTTCCTCCTCGCAGAGGGAAAACGAGGCAAATTCCTCCAAAGGGAGAGCAGGGCAGGTTTCCTGGGAGCCATTTTCCTGCAGTCCACGTGCCTCCCTTCCACTTCTTAGAAGGGAACAACGTAATTGGCCTTGATCAGGAGCTGCTGCTTTTAATTCATTTACCACTGACTCATGCCTCCGTTCCCCAGCGCCCTGTTCCACACGCGTGGCGCACAGCACTCCAACGCACTGCAGCTATTTTGACACATTAAGTAAAAATCAATTAACTCGCCTTAAAAAAAAAAAAAAAAAGCTTAATTGAAAAACCCAGGTCCAGATTTGCAGGCCGGTATTTGCCAAAAGAGCCTCTTTTTAAGAGTTGCATTTCTCAATTGCTGGGGGTTTTATAGTTCCCACAAGGAAAAGCTCTCTCTAAAGTAACTCTATAACCCACCGAAATCAGAGAAAAAAGATAGGCAAAATCTTCACTTCTAGCATGGTCTCAGACCTGCCCGCAGGGGCAGAGAGCTGGGTTAAAGGAGACCACCTGGATGGATCCGGAAAAGCACATTTTGCTCCGCTGTCGGAGAGGGGCTGACATCCCGGGGGGGGCGGCCGGGCGGGGGCGCCCGCACCCCCCTTCTCTCCCCCTTCCCAGCACAGGCGCTATAGTTAAGAAGCCTTTTGAAGACACCTTTGGGGTCTGCAGCAGACGCCCTTCCAGCTTGGCATTTCCCTGTGCAGCCCCCTCATCCCTCCCAGCTTTGCAGCTTAACCCCTGAGCTCCTCTGCCCGCCCTGCACCAGGAGCCTTGTCAAACCGCTGCGGCCAAGAGACTTCGCAGCGGGGCCTCGGCAGCTCCCAGCCAGGGCCGACCTGCTTGGACCGCGGCGATGCAGGGAAACGGCCTCCTCCCTGCATCCCGCATCCTGCATCCCACATCCCGCATCCCACATCCTGCGCCCTGCATCCTGCATCTCGCACCCTGCATCCCGCACCCTGCACCCTGCATCCCGCATCCCGCATCCCGCATTCTGCGCCCTGCATCCTGCATCCCGCATCCCGCATCCCGCATCCTGCACCCTGCATCCTGCATCTCGCACCCTGCATCCTGCATCCCACATCCCACATCCAGCGCCCTGCATCCTGCATCCCGGTCGCGCAGAGCCAGCTCCCCTGCCGCAGCGCAAGCAAGGGCGATAACCCACTTCTTGGGTTGGAGGCGAAAGTACAAGAAAATAAAAACCAGACCTACAGAATGACTTAATTCATAAATCATTTTGACTCATGTGATTTTTTTCTTTAAAAGCACAATCAGCTGATGAACCTCCGCTTTGCTCCGGATCTCTTCTTCCGCGCTGGCGCCGCACAACGACGCGACGGGAGAGATGGGCGCCCACGCCGGGTGCGCGGGAGGACGCGCCGCGGCTCGGGGA